TGACCTTATTTTGGCTTATGCTAATGGACTAATGGACCAATGGATTATGATATTGGTCCATTAAGTTCCATTGACAAAGTTATTTTCAATGGGGTCAACTGATCTAACCGAAATAATACGGTTGAGCCGATTGTATCCGGATAAGTTAACTCGGTTTACCGATTTGGATTTTATTACCCGGTTCAAATCATTATCGGTATAATGTATCTAATCGTTTAAAGCATTGTGCAATCACGTGATATAAGGCCAATCAAATTGTTTGTTTTGATCGACACCGACGAAGAAAAAACGAAGAATACAAGAAAACTAATGCCTAAACCTATATTGATGCACTAATAAAAAATGTCGGGAAGGTGATTTTACCTATAAGACACACCCTAACCCTAAAATAATCAAAACCATATAATGCACGATTTGTTTCATTATATCGGAATTTTACTGGTTACGCGTAAAAAATCTGATCGATACTGTCTAAATGCATACGGTCGGGAAAGACAAAAAAAAATCACTTTTATGCATTTATACAGTATTAACCAATTAGATATCAGAAATTAACTGTCTAAATGCATATTACTATTAATTTTTTAAAAAATTATGCATATAAATATCATGTATAAACGTTTATGCACACCGAGAATATGAGCTAATGTGTTTCTTTCGATTAATTTAATTATCAACCGGAACCCTGTCATCGTGTTTCAAACATGTATATGTCGTAAGTGTAACTTCAGACAGGCAATATTGGTCATTTTAGATCACATTCAACTTTATGTAAATATCGATCTACGTATCGGTATAGTAAATTTTATAAGTCTTTAACAGGTCATAAGGTCATAACCTGCATCAGAAAATTTTTAAATTGGTTTGACAGATGGAAATATCAATCGATAAGCAGCACCCCTGTTGATTGTTAGCGATACAGACTAGAATCGATTGATGCTGATTAGTATCGCTTGTTTGAAAATCGATTAGCATCAAAATGAATTAAAAATCGATTGTGCATCGATTAGTAACCAATATCAATTTTTTTAATCCATGCTCTTTCAAAATTTCCTGATGTGCAATTAATCAATAGGCCATAAAAAGTCAGGGCTAACACTGCAGAAAGGTGCTAACTACAGACTACTAACTACAAAAACAATATATATATGTATATATATGACGGCCGGAATGATAAAGATTTATAATTAAATTTGCTAAGCACACTTACCAACAAAAAATAACAAAACTATACAAAGAACTTCCAATTATTTATTTATTTGGATGATGCGTAGTCAAGAAGTTTATTATATAAACATACCACCAAACTGATTAACGTATGCTCACAATACAAAATTGTAGGATTTAAAAAAAAAATCCAATCGCAGGATTAGACTTCATTAAACCGAAAAATACCTTTATTATAAAAATCTAATACTTTAAAATTATAAAAATTTTGGATTTATATGAAGATTTGCTCTGACTCAAATCCCTTATCCAATTTTTTTGAACAAGAAAATTTCATGCAAATGAGCTTTCACAGCTTTATTCATCTAACTCAGAATTTTGCATCAGGAAATTTTGAAACTGATCGTAATCAATTATAATCGATATAAATTACAATTAATCGATTATAATCGATTAATTTAACATTGTAATCGATTTTATATATATTAATTATAATCGATTTTGATTTAAATCGATTATTAACACCCAAATCAATAGCAATCGATTAATTGGCTGTAATCAATTATAATCAGGTTTTAAATTTTCTTGATATAGTTCAAATGGTGATTTCATTAATAAGATGCCCCAGTCTCTGAATCGAATCTATTGTCGCAGTTGGCAAGAAAATTCTTCAGGGAACTTCTCTTTTGAGTAATGTGATTTTGGTAAGATACAAAACTAAAATGGAGAACTCATAAAGACATCACTGATGAAATTGCCATTTCTCTTTTCTGATTTCTTTTGAACTTTAAATATGTGAGTTGAATCAAAAGTTGGTGTGTTCTATTTCATGTCGATCAAGGATACCAAAAAAAAAAAAAAAAAAAAAAGGCATTACAAATATTATGAGACGATTAACCTATAAAAAAGATGAATTAACAATTAATACAATAATCGAATTAGTAATACTCTAAGGAATTGAACGCGCCCTACAAGGACAAAAAAAATACGAGTTGAGCTTCCCGAGAGTTTCTGGATGGTTAAAAAAAGGTTGCAGTAATGATATTACTGGTGGTAATAAAACCTGGATCATCATCTTAATATTTCTAATAAAAAAAGTAGTAAATAATGAGATTAACTCAGCCACCAATTGTCCGGACAGCTCAGAATAGTCAAAAACGTACGTATGCTCTGTATCTTTTTTTCTGTAGACAAGTTATGGCTTGTAAGGTTGTAAAAAAAAAATACTATTGTTAATTTCAATTATATGCTAATAATGTATTATCGAGGTTTTTAACATTTTTTCAAAAAAAAGGGAAAGGCAAACTGTAAGAAATCCATTCTTCATCACGATAATCCCTCGCACACAGCTGCCATTGTTACTGAATATTTAAAGCAAGAAAATATAGGCAAGAACGTTACTTTGCTACTACACCCTATAGTCCGGATTAGCATTATGTGACTTTTATTTGTTCCTAAAATAAAAAAAATGGAATTGGCGAGCCTGCATTTTTATCAAAAATCTTGCACCCGTTATTAATTCAATTATCAATAATATCCAAAATGGAAATATGAAAAATATTTTCAGAACTGGTAAAAACGCCTCAAACGTTGTATAGAGGTTGATGAAGCATTTTGAAGGAATGATGCAATTTTTATTTTAATCGCATTAATAAAAAATTGAAATAATTACATCATGACAAAACTTTTAATTCATCCCGCGAATCTGGTTCAAATTCGGCTGACCATACGTCATTTGGCGAAATTGAGAAAGTTCTTGATTCAACCTTCTATTTTCTAGCCCTGTTTGCTGAAAATTACAATTTAATTCCGAGTTCTTCTCCTGAAGTTGCTTGATCATACCGTTTTGCTGTAGAATATGTTCATCTTGTTTTTGAATATGTTCATCTTTTTTTCGAATACGTTCATCTTGTTTTTGAATATAGTCATCTTTTTTTCGAATACGTTCATCTTGTTTTTGAATATGTTCATTTTGTTGCATAATATGCTCATCTTTTTTTTTAAGAAGTTCATCTTGGTTTTTAATACGTTCATCTAGTTGTAGAATATGCTCCCTTAACTGAGATATAGTTAGCGTTTCATCAAGATTAGGTCGTGATCTTTTCTGCCATGAAGATTCTGCTTCGTCCTTGAAGAAAAAAAAAATTAAATAAATAACGCGTGCATACATCAAATGAAATTATATATCTTCTTACTTACCGTTTGCCGTTTAGCACCTTGTTTAGTAACATTGTCTTTTATTGGTCCCTCTATTTCATCATCAGAACTATCAGAAATATTAATATTACACTCAGCTAGGGTATCTGTCGTTATCTCTCCTTTTTCTCGATAATTCCAAACAGACTCAAAAGTAAGACCAGTTGTTACTTTATTGTCATCGAACCATTTCTTTATGTCCATGTTAATATATTCCATAATCATGTTTTCTAGTTTATCCCATTCATTGGATGTAGAACATGTAAAAATTGATGTACAGATTTGAGAATACGGAAATAAATCACAATCATGGCCCATGGTTATCTGATATTGCTGTGATATTGGTTTTATACCATAAAATAGAATCTTCTTTAATGTTCCAACCGAAGAATCTGTTATAAATGAACATTTATGCATCATTCCATATACTAGTACATGTTCTAAAGTATCACATGTTACGAGTCGAAGAACAGGAATAGAGAGATTTCCCATTGAGAAATAAAAGTGTTGATTTGGTTTGAATGATGTATCATATGCGATCACAAGGTCTAACTTTGGCTACGTGAATTAACACAATATAAGTAATTCAAAGTAAAATAATTAGAAAAAAAATAAGAAATAAATTTTTTTACATATTTACCAGAACATTTTTATGATAATTTGTGAAATCCGTGGAAAATATTACACAAAATGATGCCGTATGTTTTTTTTCCTGCTCTTGGTAAAGGTTCTTATGATATTTTGATGATTCATCATTAATTATGCCATATTTTTGTCCTATTCGATCCATAAACCTTATCATTGCATCCTATAGAACGATAATAAAGAAATAAATTCTAAAAATTCTGTATGTACAATAAATTGTGTAATACTATTACCGTTGATAGACCACTTGATGCAGCAATGCCAATAGTCAATCGAAAAGATTTCAACTGGACTAATATGTATCGAAGCATCTTTAATTTTTCAACAGAAAATCTTATTTCGGAACTATTATAGCCAAGACATCTCTTCGTTGGACCGTTGAATAAATGTCCATTTATTGCTTCTACTGGTTCATGATCGATAATTCTAAGAGCATCATTAATTTTCGTTCTTATTAGAGAATCTGCGTCAGCATTGTCATTATCAGACACCTTGCTTAAATACTGTATAAGTTTTCGATCTAATATCAAATTTGAAATTAAAGCTCGTTGAGTTTCCGATAATGGACATGGTATCATTATATCTCGAGTGACCCAATCAGGAAAATTTGGGGGTTGAGAAGGAAAAAGAGCAACATTTCGTTCCACTGAATTCTTATTCGGAAAAGATGGTGAGTTATTTGCATCGGACATAACAACTTCAGTGTTTTGATCTTGAGGCGTTTGTATTTCTTGAATATCGTGAGTATCATATCTAGAATTGCTATGAAAATTAAAGCCTTCAGGAATAGGATCGGCCCGTTGTTTCCCTTTTCCCACGTAATCTTGCACAGGAGGAGCAGTTGCAGGTAAGGTTCCCATATCATCATCAGAAGAATCAAATACGTAAGCGTCTTCATAGCCTTGCACTTTTCCCACTGATGTTGACGATGAACCGACTTCAAGATTTGCATTACTGAAATTACTAAGAAATTCATTTACCATATTAATAGTTGCATCATAATCTGCATCGTCGTCACTTGAAATTGAAATAAAGTTTTCTTCATCGGATAAGGAAGCTTCAATTCCAATAAACGACTTATCATTCTCCGTCATTTCGAAGGTGGAAATAACGATACTTTTGCAAGTTTTATTGAACTTTAGTTCAAGAATCAATAAATGATACGATCTTTCAAATCCTCCTGTTAAGTATATCGAATAAGAAAATTACCAAACGCCTCAATCAGAATACGCGAAAGGAATTTTTAAAATTCATTTTATTTCATTGTCAAAAATTCCACTATCACGTGATATGTGTGGCGCAAACCAATCAAAAAATTAGTTTAAGGGTAGGCTGTACAAATTTCCAATTTCATATAAAATAGATTGTAGATCAACTTTGTGTAACCAATTTTACACTTCCTCTGATCTTTAATAAAAAGCTTATTTAGGTTTGGTTAGGGTCTATATTAAGGTTTGGATTTAGAGATTTTATTAGCAAAATCGTTTAAGGAAATTTTTTGTTAATGCATAGAAGGTGGTTTCATATGCAAAATCTTAAGTTATAGGCAATTTTTGACAAAATGAATATTTGTTTTAAAATTTTTTGATTATAGAATTTAACTAATTTTAATCATTAGTTAAAATTATAAATTTTAATCACCCTTTATTTTTATGAGTTCTTCTAGGCATCTCTAGCTAAAGATGCCTAACGATAATATTTTGGGTTTAATAGCCAATTAAAATGCAAATAATTATGTGGTTGCTATTTTTGTATAGCACAAAGATAAGAGCAGTATTATTTATCATTTAATTTTTTTTTATTAGAAGTTTATCACTTTTTCTCCCTTTTAATATATAATTTGATCAGGTTCTTATATATAATTTTAAAATTTTTACCCCCTCCCCCTTAAAAAATCATTTAATTTTTGTCATGTCCTTAACACAAAAGACAATTATCACAGATTAGTCTAACAAACAAAAACAATAACAAAAGAGCGAAAAAAGTAAAAAAAGTCAAAAATATAAAAAATGTTTATCTAAATCTATTCTGGTGTACTAATTAAAAATGTCAAGAAAATAATTTTATATATAAAACTTGTTTTCGCTCTAACCTTGTGCAATTCTAACTTTAGTTAAAATTATATGATCAAATGTATTTTATATTGAAAATGTATAAGCTAAATATCTCTGGTTAGAGATGTTTAGAATTTTCCTATTTTTATATATAGAATTTTTTATATATAAATAAATTATTATTTAAAGATTAGAGTTAGGGCATAGATTATATTAAGTTAGAATATAGGTTATTTATATGCTATTACAGGGTTGTAGCCTTCTTAGTAAAATACAACCAAGTAACAAAATCACCCA